GCCCATCGATCTCCTCTTCAGGCCCCTTCGAACACTGTCCTAGGCCGACTTTGCGTTCTTTGCCAACGCAGGACCCGTGTCAGGCACGTGTCCCCTGACTGGCACAGGAGCCACGGCCAGGCGTGTGCCTGAGTCTTGGCAAAAAGCGGGACAGGGCTGACAAAGGCCCCCTGATAGTGAAAGACGCCAAATAAAAACGAAGAAGTCTCCGGAAAAGATCCATTTTTTATAAGGACACGCGCCCATTTCCCATTTTTAATTTTTCCTTCTTTAACTGGAATAGAAGCCAGAAGCCACAGCCAGATAAATTCTATCGGCACTGCATAATCAATGAAGTGAAGAAACCATGCGTTGAACAATTGCGTGAAGTAAATCGCCGCCCCCCCCCCCCCCCCCCCATTTTGCAGTGGTCCGGTAAATTCTTTTTGAAGTGATCGAGCTCAGAAGCTCCACCAGCATTTTATCTGGATTCTACAGGGGTATTACGGACCCCGAGAAAGAAGATTGTCAATCGAAATTGGTCAACAATTTGTGTTAACATGGCCAAGCCATGTTTGCCTGAAAATGTTCAACATTCAATCAGAATCAGTTAGAGACGCAACTTATGTAACGTAGCTTCCAACCTCCGCGCTCGCAAACCTTAGCAGCTAGGACCTCGACGTCAGGCGTTGCAGTCTTCATAGGCCGCGCGGCATCGACCCCGTGACTAATATTACCCCGTGGTCAATGAGTGGGCGAAAATGATGACGCATCTGAAAAGCGCCTTTGAACACTTCATGACAACAAATCGTACATGTAGAAGATAGCCCGTGCGTACATTTTACCCACGCGATTTTTAGATTGGTGATAATCACGGACCAGGCTTCACAGCACCGTGAAGTGGCGCCGGAATCTGGTGGTGGAACTGGAGGAGTATATGTTTTTTTGTGCTGCTTTGGCAGATTATCTGTCCAGGGGAAAATCTTATAGTTGAAAAGATACGCCCAGTCTACTCCTTGAGCGGTGCGACTTAATTTGAAAGACATTCAGAACCGTTACTTCACGGTGGTCGTTCTCGCGCGTTCAGTGCCCGCTGTATGGCGTTACTTGCATTGGTTAACGTCGTTCGGTTTTTCAGAGTACCCAGAACATCGTTGTCCCTGCTCCCGAGGTTTCGGACGCGCAGGCTCAAACCTTTTAGTGTAATTGGTTTGGCTGATGAACTCTGCGCACAAAGTTATTGCTCTCAGGCGAACATGGGATGATCTCACTCGTTTTGAACTCGTTCCGATCCACTCTGTTGAACACTAATGAGGCCCTCAATATTGTTCCGGGCAGGCGTCCCCATGAGTAGAACACTAGAGGGTACATATTGTTCCCGGTCAAGGGCTGAAGGGCCATTCCGTTCCAACGTGGAGTGCCTTCCGCCTGCCATTCTTGCGACACAGTGTGGGGTCCCTTGGTCGATTCGGGGGCCCTTAGAGGAATAATCATATCACATTGGTCTCCCCCCCCTGTCCTGTCGCGGGAGATCTTCTGACCCGCGCAGTTGGCCCCTCATTGACGCAGGAACCCTCACTGACGCAACAACATCCCTGATCGCTGCAGGTGGTTCAATAATCGACACATAGACACCAGTTCGGCTTAACGGGCCCATGCTAGAAATGGGTTGTAGGGCCCACCGTTCGGTGCTGGGGACCCTGGCTGGCACAGGACCCTTCCATTGTCTCAATGTGAGCACCCATCATGTGCTCGCATGTTTACTTTCATTATCCGAAGGCCCGATCAACGCAGAGGCCCTCTGTCATTCGGGGTCCTGCCCCGTCCCTGTTGAGCAAATGTTCCCCGGACCGACTTTGGGCGACTTGCCACCACAGGATTCCTGTTAGGCACTGCAGGTCCCCGACCGACACCCCCAGATATCAGACGCCTGAATCATGCAAATCTCAGCCTCATCCATGGCTCGTGCTTGAGAAATGGGTTCCCAAGGCTCAGACGACACGCAGCCGACTGTCCGGTGTTGGTGATCTCTGGCCGAAACAGAGGCCGCACTGTCCCAGCGGTTCCCAATCGATGCAAGAGGCCCTCTGACCGACATTTGGGGTCACGGCTTTACAGACAGAAAGGCATCCTTAATGTAACAAACGACCGGTCCTTTGGGGCCGTGACCTCACCTCAAAAGGACGATGGGCCTTTCAATCGGTCCTTGATCTTTGGTCCCTGGGGCCATTCAAGCAAAGCCCGTGAGCAACTCGGGGCCACAACCAGCATATGACTCTTTGTTAGGCGCTGTGAGTCCCTCACCGACACAGGGGCCTAAGCCATTGTTTCAGGGGCCGAAACCACTGCAAATCGTGGCCCCTAACCCTCCTTTTGCTGAGAAATGTTCCCCCAGAGTTCAGACTGACAGGGAGCCAACCGTTCGGCGGTCGTGATCTCTGGCCGACTGAGACACTCCCCCCCCTGGGGGGGGGGGGTCCTCAAACGGTAGAGGGAGGGGAGGGGGTCATAGGGGGCACGTACCCCTATGACCCCTTGCCTGCGGTACTGGCCCCGGCCAATGTAAATCGCGGGCCGTAATCTTGTCCCTGCCTGGGAAATAGGTCCTCAGTCCCACACCTAACGCGTGAGTAATCCGGTGGCGAATCTGTCGCGCATCACGCTCGTTAGGCCTCCTCCACAGCGTCGTAGTTTCGCAAAATAGGAAGGATGGGGCTGAGTGGGGAAAACCTAGCCCAAAATACACTAGAGACTGTTTCTGGAGTTGGCCCCTTTGATCCCAGCGTTATGATGTTTAAGCCCGCCCCCCACCCCCTTGAATAGGGAATACAATCCAGCTGTTATGCGTGTCCTCAACCTGCCTCAAAGGAAGATATTGTCGTAGGGCATCATTATCATGTACCTTGACGGCGATTGTCGAAACCAAGTTTCGGGAATCAACGTAGGATAGATGTGATGTGACTTCGAACGTTGTTGCACGGGGAGAAAAGGGGTTAAGTTGATGTGCGCGGCTCTTAAAGGCTGCCATCGAAACCCCCGGCTGGTAGCGGCAAGGCGAGGTGTAGGCTGTAGCGAAGCACTCATGTTTGCATGTAAGACGTGGGTAGTGCTACTTTGGTGGTCATTGTTGGACGATTATCGCTATGGGTTTAGCCGGCTGGTGTTGACCGTGGGGTCTGCGTACCTTTCCATTAAATATTCATGCCAGAATGAAGGTCAGCATACCTCAATGGCTCTTCCGAGCATAGACAACTGTCATCTTGGTCAGGCTTTTGGGCATATTTATTCCACCAGTTTGTTTTCGCGTTCCAGTAGCACGTTGTGGCGAATTGACCCAGCTTTCTGCAATGCGTAGAACTCATAGCATCGTTGAATAATGCCAAAACGCTCAGACCATAGCACAAAATGCAGACCAGTGCCCATAAGCCGTATCAAGAGTGTCATTACGTGCATCTAGCATGTAGGAAGAACAGAAAATACTCAAGTAGTTATGACGGTACGAGAGCAAAGCTTTAAATGTGGTTACCTCAGTCGGCATCACTCAACTGAACGTGAGATCGCATTCTCATTTTATTTGTTCTTTCTAGCTTAACGCAATGCCTAAAAGGTTGGGGGAGTCACCCGGGGAAGAATTGGCATTGGGTAGAACAATGGTCCACCCAAAACAGTACAAATCGACACTTGTGTCCCAGTTGTCTGATCAGTTATTGTTTTGGACAGCGGGATTCGGTAATTCCTATTAACAGTGGCCTAGTATTAAAGAACGAAATGTAGTAAACTGAGCAGTATAAAAAGGACCAAACAGATCTTTTTTCTGCCAATCAGTTTTAAATAAGCTTGATCTTCTCTTTTCGTGGTTCACTGTCATTATTTTCGGCTGTCTTTCCATCATCAAAATTTCGATGCCCACAAACAAAAAGTTCGTGAAACTAGCCGCAACTTTCAAAAAGGGACATAAGCTGCGCTTTGGCGACAAACATCACCAATGGAGATAATCTGCATCGGAATTCGTTGGAATCACGGCTGCTCGATCAGTTTGCACCGCTCCAGACAATGGTCTGAGACTCCACAATCTGCTGCTGGACGATCGACGGTGAGTGGTCCGATCGAATATAGAATAGCACTGTTGAGAGTTAAGAGCTTCTGGCAGGTGTCTGATTGATGAAGTACCTCCCTTAAATCTGCGTGCTTTACATCCATTCGAAAGCTCTCCTTTCTCAGCATGCAAGTTATCCATGATGTGAATGCCAGCCAAAAAACGCTGGCGGCCTTGAACATGTATGTTGTTGTGACAGAATTATGTTCATAATTTCACCACCACGTGTGCAGCATACCTCAGTGCTCCCAGCTAGGTGAGAGACTACCACAAATTTGAGAGCATGCGGTGGTAATACCAAAATGAAATAAGGCTCATGCTGCATGGCTGCCTAATGGTTCAAAGATTAGATGGAGATTGTCACAATAATACTGGTGAATTTTCTTACCCCCTGAATGATTCCAGTGTAGTGTTCACATTTTGGGTGACAACACTTGTTTATTTGTGGTAGAACCCAGTTGATTATGGTTATTGTTTTCAGGGATACATAGGAGAAGAAAATATCACTAATACCTTTGCATATAGCTGCTGAGCTGCATCACCTTGAAAAGTGGCACCATGGATGAGATGATTTACTTCCTTGTGTGAGTAGTAGTGGCATATGTGCATAGTAAGTCATGATTAGTTGGACATGCTTGACGAAACCAACTAACTACAGGTCTCAACAGTCAGGCAGTTGCTGTGTGACCAATCACAGTTGTCCCCCAAAAACTGGCAGTGGGAGTAGTTTTCTGGTATTTTGATGTGCAATGAGGGTGTGAAACAACATGAGGTATAGAAGTCTTTTTGATGAGACAATTCTGGGCACAAACAACCACTGTTCACATAGCCTTGAAGCCTCATCACTTCTAACACTAGTGCAACAGATCAAAGGTTGCTTGTCTGATACAGTTTATTCAGTAAGTAACACACCAAACATTTTCAGGTGGTGAACATCCCAGGCTCCCGACATGCAAGCATGAATGTGGTTCTTGGCTGTGACAACAATGCTGTCCTTCATGCGGTCGACTATGGAGCCAAAACTGGAGCCATGGAGAAGTCTGGTAATTCATTGTATTTGAATGGACTTAGACATGTTACTAAGCATGCATCTAGTGAATATTCCACAAGAGCATTGGATATGCCTTTTACAGCATCTGTTAAGCCCCATTCTTCTGTGAGTTAGTTCTCTGCATATTGTAGCATAGATGTGTTACCAAGTCTGCATTCATTTAACCTTCTGCATGATGATTGGATATGTCTTGTAAGGTGTTAAACAGACAGGTGTGGAGGATCAATTTGACCCTGAATATTTTAAAAATAACTCTTGAATGGTGTAGCCACACTGCAACAGACATTGTACAGCTGAAGGCACCTGAAAAGTCCATCTCTTGGCATGCCAAAATGATATGCCTCATAAGGCAGCTGACCTGTAGTAGGCTTAGTCCAGGCTATGGCTGTCAATGGTGGCAGTTCCTATGGGATCGTCCAGTCGGGTTTTACAAGTGATACAAGTGTTAGGCGAAGCCATACACGCTTGAGATGGTTCCTCAACAATTGCAATTAAGATTATGGCCAATTCACTTGAACTCAGGTCAGGTATGAAGATCATATCAAAGTCAAACCTAACTGCCACATTACTGGAGAACTAGGATTATGGGACAGTTTTTCATGCTCATTTTGAATCCCTGGATTACAGGAATGTCAACAGACAACTGACGTAGAGTAATGGCTTGATTCAAACACTAGTGACCTTTAACTTATACGAGGTGCCTAAGGTTCAGGTTTTGGAATTTTCCTTTCGACTTGGGCTGGAATTTGATTCCGCAATCTCAAATTGACCATGGACACAAATGGACTAGCAACGTAACAAAGGTTCAGATTTTTACATCGATATAGACTCAAGTCAAATTGAACCGACTGAAGATCACGTGACAAAAACAGTGTTGTGGCAGTAATCGTGGACTATTGCAGCGCCAACCGACCTTGCTGAATGCAAATCGCGTGGAATGAACATTGCATGGTGAACTGAAAACTGTATCGAATGGGATAGTCACATTCAGTTAAGTGTCCGCATGTTCCTAAAACAAAACGTTGACCTGGGTCATTTTAGGTCAGTGGTGAATTCTGGCCTTTTCTTTATGCATATATATATATATATATATATATATATATATATATATATATATATTCCCTGCCATTCTACAAATACGTCAAATTTGGCCGCGGCTTTGCCGCGCCCTTCGGAAACCATTGCGGAAAATCATCGGGGGGGGGGGGGGCAATTTGACCTCCCACCCGAGCGCGGTGTCAAAAGCATACTAAAATACGTATGGAGTGTGTGTGGAGATGGGGGAGGGGAGGGGGTACATGGTACCTAAACGTCTTGATACTTTGCTGGCAGTTGCACCATTTTTTGGTTATTTTCTTGCTGTGCTGGTGAAGACGGCTAACAGTCGTTCGCTAGAAAATACGTATAGTTGCGATCAGGGAAAGGGTGCTTTTCCGATGAATCGTTTAGAAACATTCGTTGTGAAACTTAGCGGTGCTGAGCATCGCTCAATGGTCCGAGGACGGACGGGTTCGTTCGGACGGCCAGCACAATGTCTTTAGATAAATACACCAACAATTATTACCAGCGAGGATGCCGGGTTTCTTTCAACAGTGGGCTAACCTTGCTTTTTGTCTCAGTTAAACTTCTTTCAACAGTGGGCTACCTTACTTGAACTATGGTGAAATTCTTCTAAATAGTGCTGGCCTGGTTTTGAACATTTTCGTGACGAAGTGGATTTTCAGTTAAAAGTTTACATACATTCATGTCTCGCTTTCCCCACAATCCAGCTGTTGGGCAGTGTTTGAGGTATCACGCCGCTGTAGATGATATTTCTCATTCGAACAAATTCAAGCAATCTGTCTACTGAAACGTGTCGTTCGTGTGCCTCTAAAACGAGCACCGTCAACGCTTCTGATAGCTGCGTACTTTTAGTAATAGGTGGGGAACGGTGTTGGCTGTAGATTGAGGCTTGGCCCAGCGGGTCGCAGATGTCATGATACCTGAAGAACCCAATCTACACAACCAGTTGAACAAACGTGGCACAGTTAACTTAACAAATGTAACATAACTTTTTGCTTCCGTATGTTACGTGACGTTTGTTTGGTTTAAAGAAATGTTACACATTTGAAAGATATCGAGGCCAAACATCAGTTATGATTGAAAAAGGCCCACTTGAAACTTTTGGTAAAGTATTTAGCGCAAAAGACGTCTGGATAACAAAATTTTACAATTCAGTTCATATTCTGCTCAATACATCATCGTTTCATTACGATATGACTTTTTATGACGTCAGAGCCGTTGTCAGACTGGCCGTGCCAGAATTGCCACTGTAGCGGACGGGCTGGCTCGCCTGCAGTACTCAAACTCACTCGCCGCAAGGTGGCTGGTTAATCTATGCATGTAAAAAACCGACCATTGCTATGTGCGCGTGTTTTGGTCCTTTCTTCTCCTCGTGTTCTTGTATGCTTTTGTCTTGATAGCACATTCGTATTTGCACTTGCTTGCTCGGCTAGGGCGCTATTCTAAGTTATTGGATTCAACCTCATGTTCTTCGTAACTGGTAGATGTTGTGCAAACGCCTGTATTATGGTGCTGTTCAGTGATCGAGACTTGCATTTATTGCGTGGGAGTTTTATTGAGAGCTAACTGGTGTCCGTTGATGCGACAAGTCCTGCAGACGTACTTCAGACACGAAGGCGTTAATGGCCATTGTGAAGACGAAACTTATGTGACGTTTCTTTGACGTCGTACATCGCTGGGTGACCTGGAGTTAGGCGCGCACTGTGCGCACTGCTTACGCAAGTGTCACCTGCACTGCACTGCAAATATGGAGACTCATAAACCTCGGCATGGGCGGAATTCGTGGGGATTCAGCACATTTGCTGTTTGCGTAGGTACTGCGAAAAATGCAGGGCCTAAAATTCAGATTTTTGGTAATGTGAATCCTGTCACCTTCCACTGGCGGCTGTTATGAACTCCTCAACCCCCACAGTTGAGATGGATAGTTGCTGGTAGCAGGAGCCCAGCGAAGCCGATCCTGATAGGGCTTTCTGTAGTCCTGCTGCGCCAGTCCTCCATTCGTATGCTGCTCGATGGACATCGCAGCCCGCCCGCGTCTCACCGGAGCGCCGTCTGATTTCAGACGTGGCCCAGGGCGCACCTGCGTGCGCGAGGTGTTCTGGAGCAGCGGCCAGTTCCCCGCCTGGTGGCGGCAGCTGGCCAACGAGTCGGCCGGCGTGTTCTTGGACGCGCAGGCGTTTGAGCTAACTGGCGACGAGACGGCGCTGCGCCAGAGCCTTCTGAAGCTCAGTCGGCGCTACAGGTGGGTGTCGGTGCCCCGCTCAGCCGGCGCATTGTAGTATTCACCCGGCCAGTGTTCAGGTGCGTGTCAGTGTCCCGCCCAGCCGGCGCACTGTAATATTCACACGGCTAATCTACAGTGTCAGCGTCCCGCCCGGCCGGCGCACTGTAGTATTCATGCCGTGTTTCTACGTTCCATAGTGGCACAAAAGAGCAATAGCTTCCCTTATCATTCCAGCACATTTTCGTGGTACTTGACGTGTTTAATGCCTCACTTGAAAGGGATCGCCTACGTGACTACTTGACCTGAAAATGAAGGTCTGTAAGTGTTGGCTTTCGTTCAAATGGCCCCAAACATTGCTGCGACCCGCGACAAATATCAAATGCGTTTTGGAGTTAACAGTAAGATGTATTTACGGCCGCACAACACTACAGTACGCTCCGTGGGGTATCTAGTCCTGTAGGCCACGACTAACTGACGCGCGGCAGCATACGTGCGTGCTGTTGAAATGATGTGTTGGGTATCCCCCGAGCCGCTGCCACCCATACTGAATTACCGAGTCACAGTCGTATTGTGTCGTAATAACATCTTTTGCTTCCCCCTCCCTCCCCCTAATATCCAACGGCAGTTTTGTTTTTGCTGTCAGCTCCGTGCGGGCCAGACCCAGTCCCTCTCAGGCAACAGCCATGCCCTGCGTCAGGTGTTATCGATGCGTCAAACCCCTTTATGTCGGGTTGATAGACGTTTGCTGCGGCCGGTTTCTGTCAGCGGGCGGACTTCGCTGCACCCTGTGTCTTGGGCAGTCCTGCTTGCGAACGATCCTCCCCCTCCGCTATCAGGGGTTGCGGCATGGTCTGTCGCAGGCCCAGTGTAAGTGTCGTCCTCCCTTGCCTCGGATAGCATTGTCGTACCCAGGCGCAGCGCGGTCTGTGTATGGCGGGAGCCTGTCCGGTCGGGGCTGGTGAACGCCGCATCCCGCCTCAGGTCGTGTCTGCGGGCCAGCATGGAGACGGTGTCGGCGACGGACGCGGCCGATGCGGAGATGCAGCGTCAGCTCCTGGACAGCATGGAGATGATCTGGCACCTCTGCGAGATCCTCCTCATCGAAAAGAAGCGAGGTGCTCACCTGGGGCCGAAGTTAATGTCTCATCCCCGAGGCGATGCAGGGCTGTTTGTCCGGATTTGGCTCGGGTATATCGGTGTAGCCACAAGCCGAAGCGCGCATAACATGCAGCTGAAGCGCCCGTGAGACCTTTGTTAACGAGCGAAGCCGCAGGCGGGCTAAGTCTGCCTGAGCAGTAAGACAGTTTTGAACTTCAGTATCTTGGCCCGGCCTTGACGCTGTCTAGGGACAATATTCACTCGTGAGTCATATAGGCCACACCGATGCGACTCACGGGTACGCACTGACGCCAGTTCCACGCAATATTTGGCGAATGCGGTGCTGGAAATGTGCTGCATAGATTGCAGGGCGTTTGCAAACAAAGTGTACGTTAATCAGGTGTCACTTGCCTGCAACATTGCAACTTGAGCAGCTTGTAGCCTCGCTTTCCGTTTAGCGCGCGTGCCGCCGCCTGTGATGTGGGCTGACCGGCTGGACGCTGCCGCCCAGGGGGTGTGGTGCTGTACCAGCTGCTGGACTGGGTGCGCCAGCACGCCACACAGTTCGACAGGGCCGCCGCCCACGTCACCGAGGCAGAGGTGCCAGAGAGCCATCCCGAGTACTGGAACACGGTACGTGCTAGCCGGAGTATGGAAACATGCAAAATATCTTGCCTGCACTGCTGCGCCTGCACGGTGTATAAAATTGATGTGGAATAATCAAGTTAACGGAGCTCAGTTTGGGTCAGGCTGGGCTTGGCTGGGATAAACGTATATTTTTCATGCAGTCATTTTCTGCTTCGACTTTCATGCCTCTCACTAGTTTGCAATCAACTCATTTTTTTCATTTCGGTGCTTATTCCTGCCGATACGATCATGGCACGCAATCCGTGCTGGCAAGGTTACTGGAGCACGGCACGCGCCACGTGATTCCGGTATTGATGTGCGATATATCACACCGAGCGTGTTCGCTGTTACCGGTGGCCGGCTGCTGGCTGCTTTGCTGTCGCTGCTGACATTGATCCTCTGACGGGGGCACTGGGGCGTGAAACGTCACATGTTTCTTGAAGTCGATAGTTAGCGTCGGCTGCGTTTTTGCACGCTCACTGCTATCGGGCGGTCGCCATGTTTTTAAGAATGCTGAAGTGGATGACTAGCATACGGTTGTTTTGGATACCTGATGACTGTGCTTTTAAGTGTATTAGGACATGATGTAACGCGCGGGCTCCGTACCTTACTTTATCTCTTACACGAACACTATTATTTATGTGATTAAAACATTCCGGTGGTGAGCACATTGCGCTAACTTTGTGTTTTTACGGGGCAATGTAGGGACCAGCTCTCGAAAGGTCGTATGAGATCTGTTCCACACTTTGTATGCTATAGCCGACGCCTAAATGTTACAAATTGGCTTGATACGAAGCTGTTCCGTCAAATGGTAACCATTGCGTCCCAAGAGTCCAGTTGCAAGAGTGTTGTTTCCTTTACAAGATAAGTAAAAGGGCTGGAGGGGGGGGGGGGGGGTGGCAAAAGGATTAAAAGAATCCCCTCCATTTGCATCGTGTTGATACCCTCGTAAATTGCGTCGGGCCTTTGTCCATGGCTCAGTAAATAACAGCAGTGGGGCGGCGTTACGGTAGGCAGCGCTGCTTCCGTAACTATTGCAGCGCTCTTTAAATGAATACTGCTGTTGCACGACCTGCAGGAGGCCCTGTGAACTACCCGACGGTGCCTGAAGGTTTCGGCTATTATCCGCCGAACAAGAATCGCGTGCCGTGGAAAGCACCCAAACGTTACAAGCTGGCTAAGTATGATGCTGCTCCATGAAATGATGCCTAGCACATCCCCGGGAGCTCCGGTATGCTGTACCGCCGCCGGTGTGCTGGAACACTACGTACTAGTTTTTGTGGAGATGTTGACGTGCACACCACCTGCGAAACGATTACCGAAAAGAATTCAGCGGAAATTAGTTGAAGCACATAGGCTGTCAGGGTGACATTTTGTACGGCATTTTGGACATGTTTTGCGGCAACCTCGCCAAAGTCCCGTCTTGCGCCCGAAAGTGGTGTCAAACCGCGCAGCTAGGTCAGGTCCAAATCGGCAAGTAATCGTGTCAAACCGCGCAGCTAGGTCAGGTCAAATCGGCAGGTAATCGTCGCCACCATTGCGTGGCTTGGGGTCGGCCGGCGGGCCTGTACTGACCCGGGGACCAGATACGGTCACCAGACTGCACCGCGCCGGCGGGTCCCGGGACCGGCCAGCATTGGCCACACTCTACACGCGGAACCGCTAGCCGCACGTCCACAGGTCCCAGTTGAACTGACACACGGGGCACCGCCGGTGCGCACTCGCCCGTAACGCAGCTGGGGCTGCGTCCGAGCGTACGCACGTGAGCTGTCGCGTCTTCCTCCCCAGGCCCTGCCAGCCCCTCCCGGCTCCGCGCCGTGTGCCGACGGCCGCGCGCAGGCCGGCCGCGTGCGCTCCCCGTCTCGGCGGTCCAGCGCTGGGCGTGGACGGCCGCTGACCGCCGGCCGCCGCCGGCCAGGTATACGGCTTCGTGCTGCAGGGGCGGCAGGACGCGGCGCGGAAGCTGCTGCGCCTGCACGGCAGCTTCGGCACGGAGCCGTTCGTCAGCGCCGACGAGCTGCTGCGCAAGACGCCGGCGGGCGGCGAGGCGAGCGTGGCCGGCTTCGAACTACGCTGGCGCGGCTGGCAGGAGCAGTGCATCCGCCGCCTGGAGGACGGCGAGTTCGGCTTCAGCCCTCGCCTCCAGACGCTGGTCAAGGTGACCGGGCGGAGGCGCACGGGGGGGGGGGGGGGGGGAAGGGACGGGAGATGGGCGGTCTTGGTTCGGCGTTAGCATTGGGATCGATCAGGGCTTGGCAGAAATGGTGTAGTCGTGAACAGGAGGATTTGTTCATGTGAGTTAGGCGTGTGCGCACTCCTTGCTGGGAGCGATTCACTCGTACCTGGGCTGGAGATGACGCTCACCAGGCGTTGTATTGGCTAACTCCTGGCGTCGGTTGTGCCGGCAGATTCTCTGCGGCGACGCTCCGACCTTCGAGGACCTGTACAAGCAGATGGGTTCCTGGTACCACCTCATGGTGTCCTACACCCTGTACTCCCGGCCCTGGGTGGGCATCTCCGACCTCAGGTGCGGTGCGGTACGGTACGACGGCCAGTCCAAGCTGGGGCGTTCGGGCGCGAGGGCGCACTAAGAGTCAACGGTCGTGTGGGATTCGCATGCTGTTAGCGATGACATGGCGTTCAGTGATAGCGTCATGTCGCCGTTTCATTTGCCAACACGTTTTGCCTGCCAGCGACCGTCGGCCGTGTTGGTTACCTGGGAAATGTCGTTGCTTGTGAAGGCCGGTGCCCTCGGTCGGGCGGATAAAGTTCGGAGGGTGGCGCGTCTTGTGCCGGAGGCTGGAGGCGACACCCGGCAGGGGTCCAGCTGCGGTGCCAGCCTGCTGCCGAGCGACGGCTTACGCGGCCAGCCCAGCCGCAGGGCCAATGTACCGCGGCTAACAAGCCTGTGCGATCGGTGTGCACGCAACACATTACCCCGAAGCGTATGCGGAAGGTGCGACAGTAAGTGTGTTGCGAACTTGCGTGATAACTTCGGCAACTTTGCCATTTTGACAGGCGTGCTAGGTGTCGCACTACACAGCCTAGAACCACACGGGCCACTGCTCCAGCCCGTGAAAATCATGCACCACGCGATGGAAACGATACCTTCTTTTGTGACGCTTAGCACATTCGTCAATGAATCACTTGCTCCGCTCACCCATCGGCTGCCACCGTCGTGCCACCCGATTACAAGCAAGCTCCCACTGCGGCACTGGGCGGTAATCGGACTGACGCCCGCGCCGCCTTTGACGGGACGTGCCGGCCCCGACATCTCGCCGCCACCACCCCCGCCGTGACGGCGCCGCCGTCCCGCCGGCAGGGACGCGGCCGAGGACAGCATCGAGGTGTTCGGCGGCGCCAGGCAGCACTCGGCGCTGGACGCCATGCTGCACGCCGTGGTGGACGGCGACGTGCACACGCTGCTGAAGACGGCGCAGGCGACGCTGCCGGACGGCTGGCTGACGGCGCACCTGGCCGACCTGCTGCACCGGCTGCCCTACGGCGGCGGCGGCGGGCGGCGCACCAGCTTCCTGACCGAGCTGCGCCACCACCTCGTGCTGGAGTACGGCGGAGCGCTGTTCGCGGCCCGGCCGCTCTGGCAGCTGGGCGCCGTCTACCTGGACGGCTGCGGGCCGCAGGGACGCGCCCGGCTGGCGCTCCTGCTCGAGCGGCTCGACCCCGACTCCGACCGGCGCGCACGCAAGATCATCGAGGTGAGACCGACCGCTGGGATGACAGAACGCGGCGGTCGGGGCGGGGGGCGGGGGGCGTCATGTCACGTCGCTGCGGGACGGGGTAGGGTGACGCCACGGCAGCTGAGGCGCGTCAGTGTTTGGGTCAAAAGCAGCCACCGTCAGCGAGTGGACGGGCGCGCGTGGACGTTAGTTATGGAGCTTTAAGGGCACGTCAGCCATCTTGCTTACTTAAGCCCATGTTTTGTTTTTTAAAAGAGCTGTGTCAGAACTATGAACAGGAACGTTGACACCAGCTTGTCAGCCGCAGTGTGTAACTCATCAGTGCCGCCACCGCAGTGTCAGAGGAGTGCCTCGTCCGCGACGTAACGGCCGCTCGTACGGTGATGACGGGTGGAGCGCCGCACACTGTTATCGCGGCCGCCGCGTGTGTCGCCGCCGCACCGTCTCCAGCGCCCCTCTCGTGTCGGCCAGGTGGCCGAGCGGCGCGGCCTGACCGAGGTGGCCAGCTCGGTGGCGCAGGTGATGGGCCGGCGCGCGCTGCGGGCCGGCCAGCTGGGCACGGCGCTGGCCTGGGCGCTGCGCTCGGACAGCACGGCGCTGGCCTCGCGGTTAGCCGACACGCTGGTGCGCGAGTACAGCGGCACCGGACAGTTCGCCAGCGCCGACTTCATCGACAACCTCGGCGCCTGTATCCTGAAGAGCGACCGGCTCATGTTTCTCGGTGAGGCGCCGGCGCCAGCGGCGCGCACTGGTGACCGGCCGCGGCCAGGGTGTCGTAGGATCGTCACGCCGCGCAGGACACGAGGAACGTTCGCCTGTTGGTGACTGGAGGTTGTTGAGACAACGCGTGGCGTTAGTGCTGACGTGGATTGGCTCGGGACGACATGGCGGCACTTGGCCACTCGAGGCGTCTCAGGTATTTCCTGAGACTGCAATCTGGGTCACGACCAGTGCAGTTTACTTCGACATGTTTTCAGTTTGTCTGCAATTCGTAATTTGTCGGCAAGACCCGTGTAATCGCTACTTCACGTTTTTGTTCGTTACGGACGACATGCGACGTTGGCATCTGACTCGCCGAAGGTATCGACCTCCCGCTGCTTGTCGCCAGGTAAATACCGTGAGTTCCATCGGCTCTATGAGGAGGGTAAGATGGCAGACGCTGCCTCTCTGCTCGTCACACTGCTCACGTCACAGCTGGCACCCAAATAGTGAGTCCTGCAGCCACGTTGAGACGCGCACCGTTGCGTGGATAGCTAGCTCGTAACTCTTGTCGTTGTACGGGCCAGCGGCGCGTGTTTCCGTGAGTCGCTGTCAGTTCCCGTCTGGACAAGAAAGGATGCTATCGAACGATCCATTACCGCGCCCCGCTTTAGCCTCGCAAAAGCGATCTCCACGCGTCCCTTTGTGAGTCATTGTACTTAACGCGCACTGCGAAACGTCAGTCGCGACACGCCTGTTGTGCGTCGGTGCACTTAACACGCGCCGAAAAACTTCAGCTGTGACGGGCTCACCGACGTCCGATCAGAGCCGCGGTCAAACCTTTGTATGGCTGTCGTTTGTCTCGTTGTTGGCCTTTAGGCCGGCTCGATTTCGACGCACTACCGACGCCGGCCCGACCGCTCCATCCGCGATGCTTTCCCCCCCCCCCCCCTCACGGACACCATAGCTGTTCGGACGGTTCCGTCCCGTCCTGCCCCCCCCCCCCCCCTCTTCGGCGTTTGATGACGCGGGCGCGCCATCGGCAGCTTCTGGATGACGCTGCTGCTGGATGCCGTGCCGCTTCTGAAGGGCGAGGAGGTGGTCATATCGTCCGCACAGACATACGACCTGATCGGCTGCGTGGAGCAGCTGAGGCGGGCTGGTAAGGCACGCGCCCCGCCGAGCGTCGCTGGCCGCGCTCCGGCCCCTGCCTGCTAGGGCGGCTGCATTGTACCCGCACGTGCGTGCGGAGATAATGCCGTGACCGCGCGGCTGGGTCGCTGGGCCGTGATCGTGTGGACGCTGTCAACGTTTGGAGTGTGGAGCACCGGCCTCCGTTTGTTTGTCGAGCAGGTCAGTGGGAACGTGTTCACGCGATTCATTGTTGTGGAAAGGCAACAGGAACGCATTTTTACCAAGGCATCCAATAGGTACAATAATAACCAATGCATAAAAGGGAACCAGAAGGCCTTTAAAGGTTGCAGAACATTTTCGTGCGCAGTCAGGTAATGGCTTCTCCCGATTGCCGCTTCTCAAGTGTCTTTTTTGGGGGGGAGGGTAGGGCTAGATCACAGTGAGCGGGACCTTGCTCCACCCGTGCCGTTGGATGGTCTAACCTTGCTGTCCTGCGCGATCCGCTCCCGGGCCGGCCGGCCCGGGGTCGGTCGACTTATCTGCGGCCCATCCGAGAGGTCACCATCAGCGCCTCAACCCATCTCATACCTCATGCCTCATGCCTCATGCCTCATGCCTCACACCCATGCGCCCCTGGTTTCGGTGTGTTGTTGAAAAGTGCTGTAGAACCGGCCGAAAATTGATTGACTTGTTCCCAACCGTGTCCACTTTTATTTGTGTTCGTGCGGCGCCGACCGCCAGCTGGCGGAGCTGACCGCGCCACGACCCATGCCGTCGCTACCGTCCGTGCTCCGGGCCTCTGACCGGCTTCGTACCCCTTCCGCCCGTGCTCTGGGCCTCTGGCTGGCGGCGTACCCCTGTCGTCTATGCTCCGAGCCCCTGACCGGCCGCGTACCCCTATCGTCCGTGCTCCGGGCCTCCGACCGGCGGCGTACCCCTGCTGTCTGTGCTCCGAGCCTCTGGCCGGCGACGTATCCCAGTCGTTCGTGCTCCGGGCCTCTAAACGATGACGTGCTCGTATCGTCCGTGCTTGGACCCGCGACACGCTCGTGTCGTTCGTGCCGCGCTCTGCCGGCTGAGTTATGGCGCGTGCCGCGCTCTGCCGGCTGAGTTATGGCGCGTGCCGTGCCCTGCCGGCTGAGTTATGGCGCGTGCCGTGCGCTGACCGGTGTTATGTGGATTACAGAAAAACTGGACGAAGACTCGGCCGACGTGAAGCTGATCCGTCTCGCGCTCTCCCACAACCTGGCGCAGGCCATCATCGTCGAGGGCTCGAGCGCCGGCTGAGGCCCTGTTGACGCGGTCGCCATCGTCCAGCCGTGTGTTTGTAAGAAAATACAGTACAACCAGCGCGGTGTCTGTGAGGGCGCGGGGAGACTGCCGCCCTTGGAGTCGAGGACGGAGGGGTGGCGACGGCGCCGGACCAGCGTCACAGCTGCGGGGTGGGCGGCGACGTGCGGCCGCCGAGCGGCGGACCCACAGCTCGGCCGGCGCGACACGGCATCGGCGAGGGCAGCCCACGCGGGCGCTGTCCGTCTGCGCCAAGAGAGGAGGTCCCGTCGTCTGCCCCTGTCAGACCCCCCCCCCCTCCCCCCGCTGACGGTCGGGATCACGCAGTCGCCCGAGCCTCAGGTTATTGAGTCGCGAGCCGATGGTCTAATTTTGACAGCGCGGGCGTGCAAGCCACCGCAATGCTTCCAAACACTGCATATCGCGCGTGACGAGCGATTGAGGTTTGGCCGTTCAGGGGCTCCTTGTTCCGCTTGGCAGGGTGCAACGTGGCCCGCAAGGCCCCGAGTGCCGCCCATGACGACGCCACGCGGCAGACACGCGCGGCCGGCACCGTTCGGCCGTGCTGTGCCTCGCACAAGGTCGGGCTGTCCGCTGACGACCACGCCATCGCCGCGGCGAGCCGGCCCGAGTCCGGAAGCCAAGCTGCAAACACCTGATGCGGTCGCGGGTGACGCCAGTATATTAAATAAGGTGCATTGAAATGCCGTACAGCGCCGGGCACAACACAGAAGGCCGAACGGGTGCGGAACACTCCGACCGCGATTCTGCGGCCCGGTCGGACGGGGGCGCGTTTCCGCGGCGGCCACACAAGGACGGATCGACGTCAGTTGTACGGACAGGCCGGGCGGCGACGCGGACGCCGGGCGCCAGCGGCGCCGCACGCGCGCGCCGCCGGGAACGCGCATCGGACCTCGCAGCGCAAGCGGCGGGTCCGCCTCCGCGGGGCTGAGCGTCTACAGCGTACCTCACCGTCGGCATCGCGGCGTGCCTTGTCGAAACCCGTGACTGGTGCGGATGGTCTCAGAGGTACAGCAGAATTCTGGTGGGCTTGGACGACTCACACCAGCACCCACCCCCCTCCCAAAAAGACAACCAATCAGCCGCGTTCTACAGAAGGTGGTCAAGGGTACCCGCAAGGGTACCCACTGGTCAAGGGTGCCCGCATGACTTCATACATGGTTCAGAGTTCATGCTTAAGGACGGGAACATAAATGTCCACTACCCTGAGTAAAGCTCTGAAATGCCTGACAGGCATCAAGATCATCAGGAATGGCTACAACGCGGGCCGCATTCTGAGCACGGACGCGACGATAAATGAAAACAAACCAACAAACGATTTTCCCCGAAATAGTATCACAACCACACATGTGACGCACCAGCCCCCAAGAAGTGATCCAGTTAGCGTGCTTAGACCCCGATGCACATTGCCCGAACCCCCGTGCAGCTTGCACAAATCCAGCCGTGTCCACCCGTCATCACGCGGTGACCGGGCGCCGGATCGCAGGGCCGAGGCACAGTCCACCTTAATATCTGACTGGCCCCCACCGCAACCACAGCCCCGGCACACGTGCCCGCACGTGCCCGACACGCGGTGATGAGCAGACGCAGCAGCCGGCTCGCGTCCGCCAGCAACACGCACCGCACCGGAGCAGCTGCCGGGGCCGGCCTGCCGACAGCGTCGCAGGTCCAGCCGACCCCAGGCGCCCCGTGACTGACCGGCCGGCGGATGTGTCGCTGCCACGCACCGCTCGCACCGGAGCGCCGGGGACGAGAGCACGGGCGAGCCGGAGAGGTGGCGCGCGCTGGCCCCGATCACGGACAGCCGCTGGGCTTGGCCCGGCCGTCCGCCCGCGCCTGGCCGCACACCAGCACGCAGTCAGCGGCCGCGCAGTGCCGACGGTGGCGCGACGCACAGCGACGCACTGCCGCCGCGGCGCCGCGCTGGTGACGCGCTCTCCCAACAGTCCGCGGCACTGGACGGCTCCATGCATGAGACGCAACATCGGGCGAGCATTCCGCGGGGATCTACCACTACTGCCTCCGAAAAAGCCAATTAACGATTTGCAACGCAGATGATAAAGCAGATTTATCATCCACCCGGTTGTTTCTCTTTGGCTTTGACTGCGGACTTTTGCCACAGAAACTAGGCGACGCAACATACTGTTAATCACAAGTGAGAACATTACGTTAGTGACTTTAAAACAAAATTATATTGAACGGAGCGAGACTCGTCAGAGCCTGCCCTGTAGACTACGTCCTATCACATACCCGAGCGTTTGTCATTTACGGGGGTTTTTATTCCAAAAAGTACAAAAGGTATTTCACAAGTGAGATAAGCCATGGGATAGCAAGGCTTACCCCACAATTGCAGTCACTTACCTGATATGCGGCACACACAAACTTGATAAGTTGGGAAAACATTTCACCTTGGTGCTCTTGACTCTGAAAACACAAATGACGTCAGGGACACATCTTCGAGTGCGAACTGTCACCTGTCTTCACCTTCGTGAGACGCTCCCAGACGCTAGAAGCTGGAGCGATGATGATGACAGGTCTTCTGATGGGTGTTGGGAGCTCGGTCACTCATACAGAACATTTTTATTAATTACTCATGTTATGCCAGTACTGTTATTACGGAAACATGGGCACCACACAATCGTTTTCCGGGTGTAGGCGGACCCGGACCATTGAAGTTTACCAAGAGCAAATGATTCATTGCCTAATGGCGAGTACAGTCACTGGGCTGGGAGAGGGGAAGCGGGGCTGGCGCACCATTGTTTTGTTGAACACCTTAATCTACCCACAAATTTGAACTTCTCATATTTGGATTGATTTGTTTTTCCGACGCCACTTAGAGAAAGTTTAATTAGCGTTGATTACACTTGATAAAGCTGAATAGCTGGCAGCTGCAGCGTGTTTCTGGGGTTTTGACCAAATAATGCGAATTTGCCACATTCAAAGGCAAAACTAAATGGCAACATTCAAAATGGCAGGACCTCCGACCATCTCCGCGTATCAAATCACCAAGTCAACTAATACCGCGTCAATCACCGGTAACAGTAACAATACTGTACGTAAACCCTGCGGCGGTAACCGGCAGCTAAGCCGAAGGGTTAGGAGCCGGAGCTAGGGATCCCGTCGGTCGGCCGCCGCCCGGCCGGCGGCCGCAGCCCGCGTCGGACTGCGCTGCTCCATCTGCACCCACCCCGTCCACCGTGACGGTGGGTATGAAGATGGCGCGCGGGCGCAGGCTGTGAGTCATGTTGCCGTAGCGCTCCATGTCCACGTTAATGTCCTCTCCCTCGGCGCAGACGGCCAGCTCGCGCCAGTCAAGGCCGGTGGAGCGGGCACACTGCGGGCAGCAGCGACGGCGCGGCTTCAGTTAGGCACCTCGCGAACAGCCGCGGCTCCCGGGCACCGGGCAGGGCACACATAGTCAACCCGTGCATGAGAGGCTGCAGCGGGCACACAGTGGCGAGCGCGCGTTGTGCAGGCACAACGTGGCTGGGTAACAGTTTCCTCATGCTGGCCGGCGAGCACTGCAGAAGCAGGCGAGAACGTCCAACTAGACTTTAAGGACATTTCTGTCTGATGAAATCGACATGTCGTACAGCGCTCATGCAACAAGCGAGTCGATTCTTTCCACGCGTACCACTTGACAGTCCGTCGGGAGATCCAGTCAAACCGTCAAATTTCACCATACCAAAGGAATGCGTCCATGTATCCAACATAGCCGCTCCGACTGACTAGTCGGCTCTAGATGCGGCTTGCGCCCTGGCGCCATCTCGCAACGCCCGCGCCAGCACAGCAAACGCCACCGTTGCCGCTCTGTGCCGCCAGCACAGCGCGTCCGGCGCCAGCCCGGCTGCGCGCTCACCTCCTCGGCGTTCTGGCGCAGCCGGCGGTACTGTTTCATCATGCAGGTGACGAACGCGACGGCCTGCGTCTGACCGTCGGCGCGCCGCACGCCGCACGCGTGCACCTTGTTGGCCCAGCACTCCTCGGGGCCGTGCTGGCAGGAGAAGGTGACGGGCGGAGGGTCGCCGGGCCGGGAGTCCGGCCGGCTGTGGTACTGCGTCTGTCGGAGGAGGCGGCGCCCGCTGCAGTCAGCGTCGGCGTCGGCTCGGCGGCCGCCGGCGCGGCACCAGGCGAGACGACACACGCAGAGTGATCAGCCGACGCTGGCGTCAGCGCAGGCAGTGCCGTGGTCGTCGACGTCTGCCACACGCACACTGGCGTCCCACACACTGGCGCACATCCGAAGCGCCGATAGACATCTGACACGTTTGCTGGTGCTGTTCCGATTTTCGTGCCTGACATCTGACACAATGACAGGTGATACTGACGCGGGTCACTTGACACACAGCGGCAATGTGCGATGAGGTGAGATACGCTACACCAAGCTCCTATCTCTACCAGCTGCATGCACCGACATAACCTTAGCCACCTGAGCTGCAACATCATTGCGTTGCCTGCTTACAGTCCATACTGAATTAAGTCTCCAGTGGCGGGTTGTCATGGTGGGCGTGATGCGCTGCGAGGCTACCCGGCCGCAGCTGGATGTTTGGGCGCCGCCGGCTGCTGTCATCACGCCTCCCCACAAGAGCGAAAGTATGCTGAGGAGCCTATTGATCAGCATAAGAGCCAGATGCAAGACTAGTGCAAGACTCGGCACGTTGTGACTCCGGTGCATCCGCCATCGACGTACACTTTAGTGAAGCGCAGAGCTAGGATGAAGCGGGTAATCGGGGTATTGGTGAAGCGGTAGGTCCGGTCAGGCACCATGAACGGCTGTCTCCCCGTACATGGCTGTGCGCCCTTAACAACGGTGCCCCACCTCCACCTTTTTTAGCTTATGATAATATCTAAAACGGGGCAAAAACGGAGCTGGATGCACTGATGATACGCCCAACTGGCAAGGATCCCACGAAATGGCGAATTACATGGGCAGGGGCCCGCTGGGTAGCACCCCTGGGAGCTCCCCCGGCCTTAACTAATCCACGCAGACTCCATGCATTCGGCGTCCCACCACACTCCCTCCAATTATGCACATCCGTTGGCGCCCAATCAACCCACCCATTCTTGGCTCGCATACGGATCGGACCCCCTCCTTTTGTCCAGTGCCTTGCCATTATAATTGGCTCGTCTGCATGAGTTCTCGTTAAGCTAGCTTAACATCAATTTATCATGTTTCAAACATTCCATAAAGCCACGTTTAAGCTCTGTTTAAAATATATCAAGTTAATTTGTCAGCTGTACACTGACGCAGCTACCAGGCTGACATCAGGTGTCCGAAGCTGGACGGTGACTCGTTCCCTCGTCCGACCTCCAGGGTGACTGCTCCTCGTTCGGACGAAGCTCCCCGCGTTCCGTCCACGGCGGGCGGCCCACCATTCATTCGGCCACGCCCACCGCTCGCAGCTTTCCGCTGCCGCGCACGCGCCTTAGGCAGTGTCTCATTCAGCACGGAGATGTCGCCTCCCGCACTTCTACGCCCTCACCTCCCGCCCGCCGGAGCAGGCTTTGCGGGGCACCGCCCCACGGCGCGTCCCTCAGGGGCCTGGAGGTAGACAGCGCGTCCGATGGAACGGCGGAGCCCTCGACAGAGCACGAGTGACCGGCGTGACCTGTGCTCACGCCTTACAATCTCCTCAGCTGGCGCGTTCTGGAGGCTCGGCTTGATCCGCCTGTTAGACGACCTGGTGCCTTGTCGCCTTTCCTATGAGCGTCGATGGCGGGATCTCTATCCGTCCCGAACATCCCGCCATCAAGTACTCATAAGGCCTGGCGTACGCCCCGACGGAAAAGAGCACACTGTGTCCTGTTCTCCCCCAAGGTGTGGTACACCAAAATATAGATCCAGCTACCGCCGTGCATAACTTGGCATCCCGTGCGGTTCCCACTGATCCTGGGACATACCATGGCCTACACCACTTTATGCCGTCACGCCTGGGGTCAAGTTAGAAACAACAAAATGAGTCAACCGTCTCTTAGTCACAAAAGGAGCGAAACCGTGCCTTTGACACGCGCTGCCCACAAGCGTACATCTGCGTAAAAGCAGGAATGCAGTCGCCTGGGCAATCAACCCTGTCGTGGCCAAGCCGCGCTGCTCGGGGGCGCTCCGCACCTGCCATCCTCCCGTTACGGCCCCTACACTTTTCGACGCCTGGGAAAGGAGGGCGTGTTGCGTATCGGACGGAAGTCTGACAGCCCGGCGGAAGCTGATTGCGTCGATTCCATAGCGACATGTTCCGCTTAAACAAGGCAATTAAGCACTAAACCAAAACAAACAAACAGACAAACAGAATGGCAAAATACTCGCGCACGAAAGCCATGCAAAGCCAGTTAATAAATCGGGTCGGGCCATTGATAAAATCAAGCGGGAAGATAGCGTGCACATGATGAAATCCTTGTGGGTATGCTGGACAGAATTCGGCAAGGGTTACGCCGCCCCGAGCAATCGGAAAACAAGTTAAGAGAACGAGAATGGCCAAACCGTCCAGCAAGCCAACGGGCTTACGTCACAGCGAAAGGAAAACCTTCAGGGATATGGCGGCGTGGCCCGTACGCCGCGCCTGGCCGTGACACGGGACGGACAAGGGCCCTGCGCCGCTACGCCTCCACGCTGCCGCTTCCAAGGACCAAACCAAAATAGCCTCGGCGCGGGCCAACGGACGAGCCGCCGCACCGGAGAACGCGTCATGGGCCTCGGACACCATGTCCACCCACGCTGCGCGCGAGTGCCCTGTCACCGCCTGGCCGAATCCCTTCCTGCCTCGCTTCCACGCTACACCGTTTAAAACGCAAACTGCCACCTGTATTTACAAAACAATCAGTAAGACATCGACAAACCACGTGACGCGTCACGCCCCCCCCCCCCCCTTAATGATGGGGGTGAGCCCGAAACATAACGCCCGGCCGGGAGGGCCACACGGCCATTGCTCCTCCTCCCTAAATACTCGGAAGGGAACAGATGTCCGTGGCCCACGCCCGACCGGTGGGGAGAGGTCAAGGGACTCGGGAGCGCCAGCCGTCCATGGCCCGGTAAGGATTGGAACTACAGCCCGTGGACTCACATCGTGTGCGTCGTTGCCGGCGTCCCGTCCTCCGCGGGGCCAGATGTCGCCGCCAGGTTGCTGCCGCCACTTCTCTCAGCCGCTCCTCACTCCTCGCAACTACCCGGGAGACCCCTCTCTCAAGCGCCTCCTCTGGACTCTCCACCGGCACTTCCTATAGCTCTCTTATCTCCTCTGTAATTTTCCGCGATTCTTCCAACTCGGGCGGCCCGCCTTGGTTTTTGCGCATGAACCAGTAGATTTGCCGCCTCGCGCCCCCCCCCCCCCCCTCGTCCAATATTTTGCCGGGCCGGCCTGTGCTGCTCCCAGAGTCCGGCCCCCAACGTGCCCCTGGGTCAGATCTCGGGCGTGGCGTCGCTGGCGCGGACGCAAGGCTCGCCCGTTCTCACCTCGGGGGGGGGGGGAGGGGGCTGTGCGTCCCCCTCTGGCCCAGTTCCCATGTGGCGTGGCGTGTCTGACGCCAGCTGGGGTGACGGCGGCACCGGCGCGGCAGGGTTATCGGAGCAGAGTGGCACATATCTTCATGTCAGAAAACATGATGCGTGCATGTTCCGCCGGTGACCTGGTTTTTCGCGTCCATTTATCTTGCTCGGCCGACGGAGGGCAGGTGTTTCCCTTGAGCGTTATGGTCTATTTCGGTAGACTAGGCCACCGCCATGACCGTCCCGAAGAAAAACGGCGGCTTACCCCACCCAACCGGGTGACACATACTGTTTTGCTCGCAGATCCGGTCAACAACGCGGGTCGATCGGCCAGAGCGTCGGGCGGGTTCGCATTCAGCTCAGGCCCCGCTCCGCGGCCTAAACTTCGCGTTTGATTTCGCCGGCGGGGGGGGGGGGGGCGGGAATTCATGGCCTTAGCCGGCTTGCTCGCCGTCCCATACTCCGCTGGGGAAACCTCACCGATCCCGAACGGGTGGCGCGCGACGTGGAAAGTAAGAAAATGCATGCCTACACCAGCACCATACTACATTGCCAGCACTGTGCTCATTGTAGAACGCATGAAGACTGCAGACCACTAACCGTCGCCTTTCCATAAGGAACGAAGATGACGTGGAGCACGTCTGCATGCAGCAGACTGTAGGCGGGCGCCAGCTGGTCCACGATGAAGTTCTTGCTGTCCGGACAGAGCGCCTCGTAATAGACCTCCACCTGGACCGCTGCCTGCCGGATGGACGAGAGGACAGTCAGCGCAAGGCCAGTTCAGCCAATGCCGCACACCAGCTGTCCCACGGGCCTCAGGATACATGCGGTTTTGATCACGTTTCAGCTAAATCTGATGACTTTGCAAACCTTGTGGCCCAAAATATCCACCTCTTCTGCGATCAATCCGCCATTAAGAAGGAAAGGCCTCGTTTCACCAGCAGCTGCAGTGCACCAACCCATCCCTGTCCAGACCGCCCCTTGCACGGCCAGATCACACTCACCGGTTTGCCAGCCGAGTGTGCATCATATTCAACCAGTTGGCCGGGCCGGACGCGGCCGGCCAGGGGCCCAGTGTGGGTGCCTGGCTCGGGGGTGTGCTCCTGGTACAGCCGTGATGCCAGCTGCCAGATGATCAGCCCAATGAGCGCGGCGGCCGCCAGCCGGTAACAGCGTGATCCAGAGAAGATGCTCATGGTGTGGCTGAGGTGGGCTGGCAGCAGAGCCAGCCCATGTATGGCAGCAGAGTTGACTGACCACCTGGAACTGGCCAGGACAGATAAGCTGGTGATGATGGGCAGATTCATAGGAATGGCCATATAAGCTCTATTCCCATGAACACTTCAAGTCAAATCATCTAGAATTCTGATGGTCAAAAGCAGTTTCTCAGCTCAGCACATTCTGATGGGTATGTGTGATGGAAATGGCAAGCAAGCACTTATAGTGACATAACAGCAAAAATGATGAGAATGAAAACATACTAAGTTGTTACATGGCTATCCAAGCATGACCTTACAAATAAAAAGCACACCAATTTTACTGTTTCATGCAAGACAGATGCAAGAAGTGCTTTGAAATGCACGATTGGAGGACACTGCCGTCAAACTTCGCACTCATGAGTACAGCACACTGAATGTTGAGAGGTGTGCACTGTATATGCAGGGTGTGCTGCTCACTTTCACCTTTCCTACTGTTGAGGCACCATCATTGCCCTGGGCATAGCCTCTTGTTACACCCCAAACTGAAAAAACACATGCTATGCTGAACACATGCAATTATTGGAAAAATTGCAGTAATATATTCAGAGCATGTAAATCATGATCCTGGCCCAAATTTGGAGCTTGCTGACAATAACTGCAGTATGTTGAGAGCCAACATTTCAAGGAATCAAACTGTTGTTGCAGTAAGAACAACAAATTATGCCACAAAGCCAATTTCAGATGGAACTACTGTAAAACACATTTTTCACGTCACCCTGTACACAAAATTGGAAAATGTGGCACAACGTGGCTCTGCCTAAGCTCCATGCACACGAGCAGAGGATTCGGTACACCAATTATGTCATGCATATGGCACAGTGGAGACACATACACGTAAGCCACTTACGTTACACCTAAGACTTTGCTTGATTTTGTGTAAAGTTGTGGCCAAGTCTGGAATCAGACGGGTGTCAAGTAAGTTAAGCCAGAGTCAATCTTTGGAATAATAAGATAGATCCATATTAACAATCAACTCCGCACTCCCATCCTTCACTCACGTTCGTGACACCACCGGCGACGGAGGGACGAGCTACGTCGGCTGCAAGGTTTGTGTTGCCGTGGTGAGTAAAGGCTGTGACGCATCACCTGACTGTGACATCACTGATAGTGGTTTTGCGTTCATTCAACACCTAATATAATTTTAACATTTTCAGTAGTTCAGCCCCTATCGCAATCCCTTTTCCCGAGATCATCTCTTTGTCTCTCCATCCTTTTATCACAGCTCTCCGCCGTAGCGATTCCCAACCAGTGTCTCCCAGGACCCTCCGCGCCCAGGCACTCACTTGCCTCCGTCCCCAACACACTGCCACTCTTTTCCACCACCTTGCAAGGTATCGTTCAAGCCAAGGTAGCCACATTATGCCAAATTTTCCAATTTTGTGTACAGGGTGACGTGCACACCGCCGTTATATTCGAGAGCAGGGAATACATGTGCGGACGATTACAAACATTTGACAAATGACCAGTACCACTTTGGATTGTCCTTAAAGTCACGCGCCAATTCAGTCAAGTACCCGCGACACCTAGAACTAGCGTTAGAATTTGAAATAAGATCGAGCGGTGCGGTGATTGACTATACTGCTGTATCGTGCCGCATGGTCGGATAGCACAACTGCTGTGCGATTATGTGCGCATAAGGCGTGTGGTCCTGGTGTACTGAACGCCAAGATCTTATGAGAGTGTGCTGATGCGCTGTCTGCATCGATTCGAGTGATACTGTTGGGTGTACCGGGGCCGCAATGTGCCGAGTCGTGCGCTAACATGATCTGCTTCGTGTACTGACCAATGGGCTGCTCATTATGAATTCGCTCTTGTAGGGAGGCGTGACAGCAGCAGCCGGCGGCGCACAAACATCCAGCGGCGGCCCGGCAGCAGCGCAGTGCACGAATCCCACCCTGAACCCGTCCCCCACAATATGTCAGCTATCAGTTAGATCCGAAATCTTTCCCATCGTGTGGAAACAGGCTAAGTTGACTCCGGTGTAAAAGGGCTCCAAAAAGTCATCTGATGATCATCGGCCTGTATCGACGCTGCCAATTTGATCAGACTTCAGAGAAGGTCGTGTGATACCCTGCTACTAGCGTGCCTACCAGCCCTACCACAGTCCCAACACGGTTTCCTTCCAAAGCAATCCTGCATCACCAACCTCTCCTGCTTTCTTGAACACTGCTGGACCTCAATCGCCCGAGGCAAGCAGACTGGGGCTGTCTACACAGATTTTTCCTCGGCATTCACCAGCGTCAAACATGTGCTTCTGTTGCATAAGCTCCGACGCTCTTTCGGAATTATTTCTGTCGCGTACGACTGGCCTGACTTGTACCCGACCAATCGCAAGCAGCGAGTTGTCCTGAACGGTAAGCAGTTCGGCTTAGTTCCGGTCCTATCCGGCCTATCAGAGAACTGCATCTTAGGACCGCTGCTGCTCGCGTGTTTTCTGGCTGACCCGCCCAGCCGCATTGCAAGCGAGTGCATCATGTCCGCCAATGATGTAAGACTCTGCCGCTGCATTGAAAGCAGCGCAGGCTGCGTCACCCTCTAGATGGACTTGGATCGCTCTGCGACTGGTCTAGAACCTGACGATTCAGCCTCAACCCGGTAAAGGGCAAATATTTCCTCTATGCTCCATACCTCTCCTGTTATTTATCAGTACACAATAGACGGCCACCACTTGGAAAGGTGTGATCAGATCCGTGATCTCGGCGTTTTATTGGACGCAAAGTTCACTTTTGCATCACATGTTGACGCTGCGATCTCCAAAGCTAACAGAATGCTTGGATTGATCATAGCAGCATGCAAATGCAGAGGTGCGTTTCAACCACACAGCCTTGATGTGCGCGTTCAACGCTCACGTGAGATCGTTCATTGAGTATGGCAGTGTTATCGGGAGCGGGGCTGCCACCACACACCTTGCTCGATTCGAGACCAACAAGCATAGGCTTGTAATGCAGCTGGCTGCGAACGCCCGGGATCAGTGCCCCTCTCTGGAATATGAAAGTCTTCGCTCACATTTCCGCATGTCATCAATTAAGGCACGATTTGTCCAGTTCGATCTTCTATTGAAGCACCACATATTTCACCGTCGACTGGACTGTGCTCAGCTGACCACAATATTGGTCTCTTCCTCGTGCCGTTGGGAAGTCAGCACCATAAAAACGGGATTCCCTGTCCGCATTTCCGTCACCTGCAACCGCCCGCTTTAGGATATCCTAACAACTGACTTTTTTCATTCGCTGTCATTCCGTTCCGATGCACGCAGGTTTGCCAACAGCGTGGGCACGTTCACACAGTCGATCTGCTCGCCAAATCACTCGAGTAACTCTGAAAGTGTGATAGCGTTTGTATTTGTGTTTGCGCGCGTGCATCTATAGCATTTAACTTATTGACTGCATCCGTAACTGAATGGCTGTTGAGCCTGTGGATTGCTTATGCGAAACAAATAGATGAATATATGAATAAAACCTCCACCAAAAACTTTTAATCGTCACACCCAGGCTAACAAAAGGTCACCAGACAGAAACAGCCAAGAAACCGGGGTTGCTGCAGAACACCAGGTGCATGGTCCGACCCTGTACACGGCAAAACCTTCGCGCGGAATTGTTCAAACTGCAATGCTGCGTGTAAGTGGATGTGAGCTGTCACGGCTCGTAATGCAGCCGCCGTCACCAGCAGTCAAACAGAGTCCGCCCCTGTTCGTCAGGAGGACGATGCTGCGACCTGTCCGATAGAATCTGCCACCATCCGTCACCCAGGACCGCTGTCGCCGCCCGTCGGACAGACGCCGCGACGCGAAAACTCGCCGGACGGAAGTTCTCATGCGTGAGCAGACATGGACGGCCACCACAGTGACAAGCTGCCGCGATCCGTCAGACGAAAGTTGTCACCGTCCGCCAGCTGCATTCGCTCGCTCCAACGAGGGTATAGCCAATCGGAGGCTTGCCAGACGACAGGCGCCGCCCGCCAGACAGAGGCAGCCACCAAATGTCACAAATAATTCACAGACAGCTGACACACAGCCGCAGGATATCAGAGGGCAGAGGCCATCGCCGATCACATACGCACTCTTCATACGAAGATTTCTCAGAAGACGAGATACCGGCTTCTTTCACATCGAAACAATCGTCGCCCTCGGAAAGAGGTTCATCTCGCAGAGGCCCGTCAGACAGACGCTGCCGTCATCAGTTCGCGGAAGCGTCAATCTTTTGGGTGAAATTTATTCGGATATGAACATACGCAGCATATGTGTCGTACATTAAACCTGCCAGTTATATGGTACGATGCCTGTAATACAATCAGTATAGCCGTAACCTAACCAAATGATCCATTCGCTTATATCAGCGCGCACCTCCGAGTCGATTCTAGTAAATAAGAAATATATAAGTGACAGTTTAAGCAAAATGTTTGACGCTTGCTACACGCTGCGGCATCATTCTACACATCTGTTCAAGTCGGGTAGCTGAGAGCCTGCAGCCCTGTTCCAAGCCCTCACTCGGCAGTTTCGGATCAGTGTCGCAAGCTTAAGTCGTGCTACACATTATGCGTCATGGTCGGCTTTCGGTCCTGGATGACGTCAGCGTACTTCATCTGTATGTATCGGCGAACTCTGAAAGCGAAGGTGCAATAAGCAGTTAGAAAGCTTGAAAGTGGTCAAAGAACTCATGCACTGGCCTTTCAGTCTGGTCATCTTTAGCTTAAAATTGGAAGTTGATAGCAATTCTGGCTGTTTGAGATCCCTGCAATGATAATCTTAATTTTTGCGTTGACGAAACGCTTAACGGGCTCATGATCTTTGACCGGGTTGTGCCCTAGCATTTCTTGCGCTTACTTTGGCCACCACCATCACTGCCTCCCATCACAAAGCTGCTTGTCCGTCGGGGATGTCGGCGAGTCAGATCCGCGCACGTAATTTGTATGCGATAATGCATCCCCGGCAGACGCGCCATGCCGTCAACCTTAATCCGATTCACTCCCACGCTGCTCCCAATGTCCATGCGAGCTGCATATACGATCTCGCCACGCCGCGGCTCGGCGCACTAGCCAAACTGACTTGAAGTAGAACTGCGGGTCGTCGGTGAGCAGCTGCTGGATTTCCGGCTGGTTGATGACCAGCACGTCGGACGGGTCGTCGGCCACCAGGTTGTGCTCGTACGGAATGGTGGGGAAGACCATCTGCACGTCGCCGTAGATGGAGCCCGAGTAGAGGAAGTAATCGGGCGCGGACGGCGCCGTGTGGTACACCACCACGGAGCCCCGCCGGATGATGTACACCTTTTGGCCTATGTCGCCCCGCTTCGTGATGAAGTCTCCTGAGAAAGGCACGGCCGCGTATGTACGCAAGGCTTGTGGCGTACACGGGGCTTTTCCCACTGTGTTTTAAGTGGTCGAGTGAGAATGCGACTGCAGCTATGTCGGTTAAACGAGCAAGGAATCTGAAATGGAATTCCTGCGACTGCCACAAGAGGTTTTTATTGGCCCTGCCTCCGTCAGGGTGCTTGGACGTCGCCAATGACCTTAGTAGCAGCGCACGTTGATAATTATCATAAGTTTAGCCGATAAGACCCGGCACAAATAGACCGACAATGGCCTGATAATGCATGCCAGTATTAACTAACTTGTACTTATAACCGCAAATGGCTGATGGGTGAAGAGTACGATATTGCAGGCATGACACCGACCTCACTATTGTTACTCAAAACAAACACAATCTAAAGTTTTCCACCGTGACGAACTCGCTTCTGTTGCCTCTGTTTTTCTCCACATTCTTCGTTATTGCTGGTGAACTTCAAGCATGCTGGCTAAGCATGGCTGAGCAAAGTTTAAACTAATGCAATTTGGGTTGCAGTCATTTTCCGGATGCATTGCCCAACTTTGTGCCCACTGGTATCCTTTACTTTACAGCGGTGCTGTCATGGTAACCGTTTCTTTCAATGAGTAAACGGGAACGGCATTTGACCCTGTTCTGTGCAGGGAGACTCGTAAGCCCCTGATGTCTCGTGAAATATTAAGCCTTTTATGAAAATAAGCTATTGTCTAGCCTGGTAGGCGTGGTTTCGGCGTGGAACGGTAGCTGACCTGGTAAGAAGACCTGCTGCTCGCACATACAGCTGAGGCGGCGTATCAGGTAATCCGGTGCCTGTTCGAAGATGGTGATGGAGCGCAGCTGGTCGCTGTAGATAGCCTCGAACACCTCCATCTGAGAAAGCAAACACCAGCTGAAGTCGACAGCTGTGAAATGTGAACAGAGCTGCCTTGAATTACGGCCTTGTTTTCGTCCCATTCGCCCGGCTCGGCAAGGTCCCCATAAATGTAGGACTTCCTGACTTACCAAACGCTTCCCTGTCATGTGCCTCCATTGTCTCAGGAGCATTCAGTTAGCCCACCATTAGCGTATTATGAAATAGAGTTTCACATAAACATGTAGAAGACTTTTATTCAAGAGTTTGCTACGTCACATCATTGGACATTGTTCAGTGTTGATGCGATCGCTTGCAATGGCTCCGTGTAAAAAAAAAAACCATGTTGTGTATCACGGCTGTCTTATCACGACTATGATGTTGTTCTTGTATAGTTGAGAGCTACAGCCCCCATCTTTGAGAATATTTTTGAGAACTAGCATGCATGACAAAGAACGATGTGATTTTTCTTGGATGGACACTTGTCCGGTCTGTTACTTTTCGGTTTCCAACATTTGATAAAAATAGCGTAGTAGGTTGTGTTATTTGTTGTTTGTGCTGTCCCGCTGTGGTAAGAACAACCATGAACGAAGCAATATTTGCTACCAGCCTTTCTGCAAATATGTGCTCTTAAAATTAAACGATGCATACCTTGCGTTAGTATTAACAAACGAATGCAACTAAATAATCCATTATATTTATTTTTTGGAGCAATTGCTTGATTCCAAATAAAATATCGGTACAATTTCAAGCGAAGCATGAAGTCAGATGGAACAGAGGAGAATGAGTGAGCTTTGCAAGCATCATTTGTGCTAGCTTACATGGCGTTCCGCTATTATTTCAATCAATAGTGATTATCTCATTAGTTTTCAGTTTTTCCGCCGGTGACACTGATTCTCGTTTCCTCTGCTTTCAGCTTTTGTAGCGATGCAATATCACGGGGCAAAGCAATGCACCTATCGCATGATGATTGAATCAAATCCTGTGTTAGTCAGGTTATAAATGAAACCAGCAGCTGCCTAGGAATTTGGTGAGCCATTCCCTGGGCATTAACAGAATGCATAGCCAGAATAAGAAGCCTTCACCGCGAGCAGCCTAAACCCATGATTTGGATCGAAATCCTCTTTTTCGCTGAGCTGACAGAAAAAGGTGACAAAACATGTTATGACGAAAATTTGCCGTGAACTCCTACATGTTATGCCACCGGTGGCAGTGTACTAATCGACGGTGCTAAATGCATTTGAAACCACAACCCCACATAACATTAGTTCTTTCCTGTCTTGGTTGACCAAGTATCTGTTTATATCAATGGAGAACCAAAATGCCCCAAGTGCCAGACGCGGAAGAAAAAAGAAAGCGGAACGAAAGGTATGAACATCGAAACCAGCTGCACAAAGCAACTCATACCCCAAGAAAAAATGCATACCGACATAGGAACTGCGGACACTGAACAACGCGCAGCATTGACGATACCAGCTCCTCACATTATCGATACAGGTCCCCAATAGTTATGGGTGGGAGGTATCCACGTGCAGCTCCTAGCTGTGACATCACCTGCACTCATACCAAATACTCACATCGGCTGTGATGAAATGCCTAAAGGACTCGGCACGTCAAATTTAGGATTTGTGACACCACCAACCCGGTGGCATTGTTATGGGAGCTCAAATCTCTTAGATAGTCAAGCAGTCGGTTTGATACCGCATCAGGTATGGCTGACTTGCATAGATCGTACAGCATTCTGCCTATCTCGTGCCCTCCTTCCCCACAATGCACGGCCAACAAGTGACTGAACACATAGTTTTTTTCTAAAAAGGGGAGCGGAAGAAAGAAGGAGAGAGAGAGAGAGAGAGAGAGAGAGAGAGAGTAGAGAGAGAGAGAGAGAGAGGGAAGGAAAAAAGGGAGAGAGAGAGAGAGAGAGAGAGAGAGAGGAGAGAGAGAGAGAGAGCGAGAGAGAGAGGCGAGAGAAGAGAGAGAGAGAGAGAGAGTCGAGCGAGAGAGCGAGAGAGAGAGACGAGAGAGAGCGAGAGAGAGAGAGAGAGAGCGAGAGAGAGAGAGAGAGAGAGAGAGAGAGAGCGGAGAAGAGCGAGAGAGAGCGAGAAGAGAGAGGAGAGAGAGCGAGAGAGAGCGAGAGAGGAGCGAGAGAGAGAGACGAGCGAGAAGAGAGAGAGAGAGAGAGAGCGGAGAGAGAGATGAGAGTAGCGCGAGCGAGGAGAGAGAGAGAAGAGAGAGAGCGACGAGAGCGAAGAGAGCCTCGATCTCTCTCCCTCTCTCTCTCTCTCTCTCTCTCTCTCTCTCTCTCTCTCTCTCTCTCTCTCTCTCTCTCTCTCTCTCTCTCTCTCTCTCTCTCTCTCTCTCTCTCTCTCTCTCTCTCTCTCTCTCTTTGGCAAAACTAATTTCTACTTACGGGGATTTTACCCATGACAAAAGGCGACGGCCAGGGTACACACTCCGAACCCCGTGTGCTCCACTTGTCAATCCTCATACGGTTGACAGAGCTCAGCCGCAGGAGCTGTTTTACGGCTCTGCCGTGCGTGTCCAGCTGGATCTTCTTGCGCGCTGCTGATATTTTCAATTTCAGGTCTTTAAGACTTTGGCGATTCCTGATAGACTTGGATCTCCAGGCACTCCAGAGCAAAACACATGCACTCTCGCTCGTGCTTCTTCATTTGGGACCTGTGACGCGCGTGCAGCTCAGACGTACACAACCGTGTTGTAGCGCTCGCACTCGTGCGGCACTGACAGCGCGGCGGCTTTCTGTAGAGCTTGTCTTTCCGACGCCTGTAGCCTGGCTGTCCCATTAGTGCTGCTGCTGGTGTCCGGTTGCCGTCAACACTGCTATGATATCTCCCTGCATTGACCATCACACGCCGGGCACCGTTTTTAGCCTCAGCGGCATCAATACCTGCTCATTAGCATCTGCAACGTCCACGGTTCAGCAGCAGGAGAGCTGGCCTGCCGGTCTCTCCCACGCCCAGCAGGAAAAAGAAAACATCCTTCGGTCATCGGCGGAGAGCAGGCCGACTCATATACGCTTGAACCATGACACCCATACCGTCGACGACAACCTTTGCTGCTTCGTAATTGGGAATTATTTCCGGCTTTGTCCGTATTTTTGTCGACGAGCGGCGTCTGGTGCTGCGTCAACAGCGCCAGCACAGCACCGTCGCTCAGTGGGCAGTGGGACACCAGTGTGACGCCGCCGCGGACGATAAACAGTGCTGACCAGGTCGCCCGGCCTCTGACCCCAGCGCCTTCTTGGGCAAGACCCGGAGGCTCCAGTTGCTGGTGCCGATGGCGGTTAGCGGTCGGCCAGCATGATTCCACCAGCGGCGCTGATGCATGGCATTGCCGCCAGCGCCGTTCGCCTACCACACTATGTGCTCGATCACCACCGGCGCCATTTTCTTGTGGCGTCCGCCGGCAGCGGCTCTGCTTCCTTCCCTGCATGCGCGCAACTTCCCTGCATGCGTACACATTGTCCGCAGGTAGAGGACAATGGCGCTTGCGAACGTCCTCAGCAGCATGTCGCGCTTGTCAGGTTTGCTGAGTAAGCACATCTTGAAGGGGCGACGTACTTTGAACCTCGGAAGGATGTCGTCAGGAGCGAGACACCCAGACGGCTGACGGGCCTCCTGATCTTCCTGCCCGCTTCTTGGAACACTTCACGTGAGTGGCAATACTTGTCGCCACTGCCGCGCTTGGCATGGCTGGCGCGACCGTCAGAACCGATCTCTTTGAGTAGATCGGTAAGCTGCCTGCGGTCCATAGTGGCCCGAAGTATCGAAAGACCGGTGCAGGAGCTGAATCGTTGTAGGATGGTCAGACGTCTGTAGGATCCAACCAGCAGGCGTAGTCCTAGGAAGGTATGCATACGGTTGTGGACCGCCGGCTAGTAGGGCCATGCCGTTTTCTCATATGGCTTGATGCTGGTTCGCTCGGTTATCTTGTGAATGGCTTCTTTGCCGAAAGCACTTTAAGACCTCCACCTCGGTTATGACGCGCTTGGTGCCTGCTGGCGGGACTCACGCCTGTACGTTGTGCCAAAATGTTGACCGTGTCACGTCGCGGCGTGTGGGCTGTGGATGAGCAGAACACCCCGCGGCGTGTGGGCTGTGGCTGAGCAGAACACTCTGTGGCGTGTGGGCTGTGGCTGAGCAGAACACAACACTTTGTGGCGTGTGGACCGTGGTTGGGCAGAACACTCTGTGGCGTGTGGGCTGTGGCTGGGCAGAACACTCTGTGGCGTGTGGGCTGTGGCTGGGCAGAACGCCCTGTGGCGTGTGGGCTGTGGCTGGGCAGAACACTCTGTGGCGTGTGGGCTGTGGCTGGGCAGAACGCCCTGTGGCGTGTGGGCTGTCGCTGGGCAGAACACTCCGCTGCAACATAGCGGTAACTTTTCCAACCGGGATACGGCCCGGCCGAGTTGGCCGGGTGCCAGACGGTGCCCCGGCCACTTCCCGCTGAGACCTGGTAAGCTCTGATCGTGCTGGCGACGCTTCGCCGTCAGCAGGCAGCTCTAGCTCACCCAGCAAAACTGGTAGCTGATGTATCTCCGCTCAATGACCTTGCCAAAACAGACCCGCTCGTCTTCTCTGGCGTCGGATGATTCTGATAGCAGCGCGGCCGCCCTGGCTGGCGGCAACGTCCCAGCGCGGCAAGACACGACAGACGTGCAGTACCTCAGGATCAACCGGCAGAATAATTCTGATCACATCAAGCTATGCAGATCACTGAACGGTGTTCTTCATGCGATACAGAGCCTTGCGTTTGCCGGTAGGTCCCCTGAGCTGTTTGGCGTCGCACGCTTTGCCTTGATCACTGTGTTTGTGCTGCAATCGTGCCTCCATCGCCGCCGCTCCACCAGTCGCATCGGCCTGGTGTCCTTGGTTTGGGATAATCACGCTGGCCGACGTCAGCCGCTGACTCGCTGACTCCGCCTCACCGGTAAATACCAACACTAACGTTCATGCTGAGTTTAGTTTTGTTTCGTCGCCCATCACTTGCTTCAGTGCCGGGTGACTGCCCAGCATCACCTGCTCAGGTGACTGCCTCGTCTCCGCCGTCAGTCGTCCGGACGGCTCGCCGCCACGTGCTCAACTGGCTGGCTGGGGCGTGCCGCCGCAGAAATCCGCCAGCGTGCGGTGCAAAATCTGGGCTATTTCCTCAAGTTGTTACAGTTAGGTCAATGTTTGGTATGTTTACTTATTATTGGGTGCATATGTGATAGGCGGTGTGTTCTTACATATTACACCGTTTTTCTAAATTAGTTTTAGACCGCCAGACCTCCGGTATTGGCCGTTTAAACAATGGGTTGTTTGACATGTGCGTGACGTGGAAAATGAACGACTCAGATATCCATGACACACAAGTCGCGGGAAATCAATACAAAACACCGCCGTGTTCTCCTGATTTAATAGATCAAAACAATGCAGACGAATATTTTTAAAAGGCGTAAGATTCGTGTAAAAGGTGACTAAAATTTTAGTTTAGCATGTCGTTATCTTTTTGATATCGCGAACATTTGTGATATCGAAAAAGCGTAAGATTCATGTAAAAGACCCGTAAAAGTGTAACATTCATTTAACGGATCACCAAAAAGCAATTTAAAAAGTGTAAGATTTACGTTAAAAATAGCTAAACATTTAGTTTAGTGTGACTTTATCTTGTTAGATATCACGAACATTCGCGAGTGGGGCAATCTTGACCCCTCTCCAGTTGGCGGCGGGACTAGGGAGTTTTAAAGATAGTCCATGGGCACGCGCACGGTCAGGGGTTCATTTGACTCCTACACGGTGCTTCCAAAATAACTTTCGAACTGAGCCACGTCACGGAACCGAAGGTTGCACGGCTGTGGACATCACCATAGCCGAATTTGCCGCACAGCAAATAGACTATATGGTTTAAGGTCACTGACCTGTAGCGGTTCAAAGTCAGGGCTCGGTCATCAGAAGACCAGTTTTAAGACAGACTTCAAGCTAATGCGACGACAGAGTTTTAGATGATGTAATCTAGCCTTAGGATGATTTGTTACACATTCAGCTATTTTAAATTATAATTGCAACTAACTCCATTAACCTTGGGTCGCTTACAACAGACAGGCTGGGCAAAGTTCAGCATCTTTCTACCAGAAACTTTTTTTGGATTTTTTTGGCGCTTGTTTTACATTCCTTGATCACAAAGACATAACCAGGTTTCTGATAGTGACTTCGTGGTCAGGAGAGGCTGCTTACCTAACAGCCTTGAGCCTTGGTAAGCCTAAAGCCTTGATAAGCCTTGTGCTTTATAGCACTTGTCATCTAGGGTTATTCTCGACACTCGCTTTCAGTTCGAAAGGTCTGCAGACACATCCCATACGGATTTCGATGTTTACCTTTCTTGACCATAGTTGACTCGAATGCACCGACCTAGAGACTTAAAAACATTTGCATCAACGAGTTCACATAAAGTAATTCTTGCACTTTCGAAGTTGGTGCCTAGGTCTTAATTTCGATCTCCGATTGGATAAATCAGCCTCCCCCATCCTCCCGCCCTTTTCCACCCGCTATCCGACAGCTTTCCTTTACAGCGGCCTTCCGGGTGCGCGGTAATTACATGAAAAACCGCAATTTGTCAAAAATACAACAATTAACTGCCGAGTTTTTATGAGATCTTAAGAATCCCAATATGCATGCTTGTTTTCAACCGCGTGTAACCACATCCTCATTACGTGGCGCCATAACCAATGTCTACTTTCCAATAATGCGGGTTTATCACTACAATTGCTAGAATAAGCAGTTTGAAGGGGCATGATTCACTAACGCGAGAAGAAACCTCAATATCCTTTTGCACGTGGCAGCTTTTGGGGAAGCGAAAAGGGGCGCCGGTAATCAGTACCTAGCTCACACTAGACCTCACCGCATTACTTGGTACGCGTGAGCAATGTGTGCCCCGTATAGTAACTGTGCACGTACAGACTGTCGTCGCTCGGGGAGTGGATTTGAGTGCGTCCATTGGACAGATAAACTCAGATTGTTTCTCAGCGCTCGCGGTCGGAATGGGATGGTCTTACATAGATCAAATCAGCGTGGAACATGGACATTGGACTCCACATTGCACTACTCGTTTCAACTTAGCGTCAGTGGCGGGGCTGTTCAAGAGTCGATGGCTTCGAGCTGAAAAGCAGCCTGAGCATGACAGCGTTCCACAACTCTGACATAGATCTTACCCTCAGACAATGTGGTAGATGCTCGAGGAGGTCCCTGAGGCTGTGCCCTCTGTTCCTGAGCCAGTCGTACTTCACATGTTGGATGACACGCTTTTGCAAATGCATGGGCACGCTCTGGTCCTTCATCTGGTTTACGATGACGCCCAGCATGTTCTCTATCTCGACACGAGCTAACTCCAGGTTACTTAAGGTCGAAGCTAGGTCACCGATGATGAGGCCTGCCGAGGGCATGCAGACACAAATAAACTCATGTTTCGGGACGGCATCACTGATAATTACTAAGTATTGTGTTATGTTACCACTGCACGCGTTTCATATACATTTGAATACATTTTGAAGGCACGAAATAGGCACCACGTCTCATGTACACTAACGAGTTTGAGTCGGAGCCAAAAAGCTTGAGTTTGGATTTGAGTTCGGTCCGTTATGTACTGGGCCTTAGTCATATCACGCAGTCACACTTCAGATTGCACAAGTTCTGGTTCGCATTCTGAGTCATAGGATGTCTAATCTGGTTAAGTCTGGCTCATTCAGATTAATTCTCTACTAGTCCGAGTCCGGTTCCGAGTCTTAGCGGAGTGGTTCTGGGCAGAGGCGGTGCAGCAGTGGGGGGGGGGGGGGGGGGGGCAAATGGGACTGCTGCGCCCTCCTCGCAAATAGGCAGGGATGCAAGAGTATGTTTTTGGCCTTCACCTTCTGATACAAATGTGGGAAGCCCCCTTTTCTTAAATCATTCAAGGAGGCCACCATAACTGAGTTAGAGAGTAATTATCGTGCAATCGAGCTTAGGAGACCTTGGGCTGTACCAAGATACCCGTTTTCTGAATCATGACATCACCATTATGAATCAGGTAATGCTCTAGATCAGGAAGCCCAATATTGTGAGGCCCCCGCTACGAACTAGGAGGCTCCTGTTCTGGGTTAAGAGACATCCTCTATATTCAGCTGGTCCCATTCCTGAAACTGGATGCACCTTTCATGCATCGGAGGACCCGGTTTCGGATCAGGATGCTCTGTTTTGGGATAGCGGGGCCCAAACGGCTAGACTTGAAGGCCCGTTCATGAACCGGAAGCACTCTGTTCCAGTGGTGTGGGAATTATGTTCAAGAAAGGGAGAGGCAGACTTCAGAATGTTAAAATGGCCCCCCAAAGACAAGAAAGTGAACCACTACCAGCCAAAATGGGCCCCATACAGGTCAGAATATGCCCCATACATGCCAGAATTTATCCTCTACGGGCCAGAGTTGGCCTGTCATCGTCGATAATGAACCCTCTTAAGATCAAGATGGGTCATGTTCAGGCCAAAATGGGTTTTCTGCAGTCTAGAATGGAAACACTTCAGTTAACAATGGGCCCTCTACGAGCCACAGTACGCCCTCCGCAGCCAATAATGGGTCCTCTTCAGGTCAGAACGTTCCCAATGCGGGCCAGAATGAGCCCTCTGCAGGGGAAAATAGGCCCCCAACAGTCCGTAATGAGTCCTCTACCAGTCAAATGTGTCTTCTAGGCATTACATGTCAGAATAGTACATGACCTGCACGGGTCAGAGAGGGCCCTCGTTATGTCACAATGGGCTCTACAGGCCAGAATGGGCCCTATACAGCCCTGAATGGGCTCCTTTACAGACCAATATGGGTCCCTCATAGTCCATAAATGGTCTCTGCAGGCCAGAATGTGACCTCTACAGGCCAGAATGAGCGCTCTACGGGCCAGAATTGAACCTCCACAGGCCGGAATGGGCTCTACGCACTCAATCATGGCTGCCCCTACAGGCCAGAATATGCGCTCTACAAGCTCGAATTGGCTCCTGTACATGTCAAAATGGACCCTCCACGGTCAGCAATAGGCGTTTAGTAGGCCAGAATGTGCCCTCGACAGGTCAGAGTGTATTTTTGCAGTCTTGCACAATCCTTAAATAGTTCAGCATGGCCCTTAACATAGCGAGATGAACCCTCCATAAGCCTTCAAATTGGGGAGAGGGTGCCCCCTAACTTTCAAGTTGGGGCATGAGCTGCCCCCACAGCCTCCTCCCACGCTTCCCGCGTTCTTGTCCTGTTCTGGATAAGGATGGGATCTATGCATCGGGAGACCCTTTTTTGGAACAAGAGGCTCTGTTTAGGTAGCGAGACCCTTCGCTGGATAATTAGAAGACCCATATTCAGGAATTTCAACTGTGGACATTTATTTGTTGGATATGATGCATGCAACAGTTTGTTAGGCGGTAACATACCCTCGGTGCCTCTCACCATTAAAAGCGACACTGCGGAGGAAGTCCCCTGAAAGGAGGTCACATTTTGTCCACGAGGCCCCTTGTGGAAAATACTGCCCCTATCCCAATTCAAAATCCTTGGCGGCGCATCTGGGTCTGGGTATAGGTCATGCAACATCGAATACGAGTCAGTGTTGATTACTGACTTATCTAATCATACCGGAGAATGTGATCAGAGGTGAACATTTTTGACAGAAGCATTTCACATTTGTAAGAGGGTTTGAGCTAAGATAGACATTTTGAAGATCCTTCGGTGCAGTGCCTAGCCCTACCTTCTTAAGACCCAAACCCCTCTAGTTTCTGAGCTACAGGCCCGCAAAGACGTGCAGACTATTTTGAGAAGACTATTTCTGATTCAAATCCCGTCAAATATCGTCATTCAGATCCCGTCATTCCATTGGCCATGCGGTGATCATGGCCAAGACAAATATAATCGTCGAGCCGTTGATATCTGGCGTTCGTTCTGGCACGATTTCCATTTGTAACGGCCGCCAGCTGGCTCTCAATTAATGTTGTTATATTAAATTAAGGCTACGATGGCGTAATCAAATAAGACGCATTGAGGGCAGTATTTACTAACGGAGAAATTGTGTTGTTCAGAGCTGTTTTCCTTTGAAAAGCATATCAGTGGTTATAAGTAAAGTTATTTTATCATATCACTTCAAAGTTAGATCACCATACAATTTAAGCACGCATCATATGTCATGAAATGAGCTGACTTTAACTATTGGTGTGTTCTTGAGCGTAAAAATCTGCTCTAGATAATACGATTTCATCGTTAAATAAACATGCCCTTCAATACGTTATCGTTTGACAGCATAACGAAATGTTTGCATGACGTCCGAGAGCCTGCCTGAAAGGCCGCGCGAAATTACTTTCCTTCCGGACGGGCTGACTCACTTGAAGTCCTTCAGCCTTTCGAGAGGTGTTGTGATAAGGGGTGCGGCATTTCCGGAACCCGAATAACGTTGCATGTGCGTGTTCTGTCCCTTTTTGTGGTGTTCTCGCATATCAGTCCATGATCTTATAAATGTTGTTGATTTGCATTCACAAGCCCGGTTATGGCGCTATTCTTAGGTTATTGGATCACAAGCTTATTTCAGCAATAACTAGCACCAACGCCCAGCTTCCAACATTATGCAGCACAAAACGTGAGTCTTGTTTGAAACTTGCTCTGAGCGTTTGAGATTGAATATCAGCCAATCGAGACCCGTTGGTTCCAGAAATCGTCTTCATGCACGCCAGATATAAATAGCTCCACGGTCATATTTGTTTGGCCTTTAACGTCCCACGACCACTGGGGCGGTATGATTTTAGTGACGTTCCTATAGCGTCATGCATTTTTGGGTGACCTTAAGGCAGTATACACAAGACAGCAAGACAGCAACCCGAATAAAGTATTACTGGCCAAACAATCTTCTGAAACCATAACAAGATCCAGCTAAACTGCATCAATGCTTACGTTCAAAACTGGATCAGAGCATATGCATCGTACTCTGTTTCTGGCGGCGAAAATGTCACAATCAAGAAAGGGAAGCACCGCATTGGGTGCTGGGAACATTTGGTGCCAGCGTAGTGGAGACAACCACGCGTGTCTGACTTACCTAGCGCGAATTTTCCGAGCATGATGATGGGGATGCATAGCGTCGCCTCGTCCATGGTCTGAGGATGAATATCTCCGTAACCACTGCTGGTCATAGTTGCCACGATGAAGTAGACAGAGTTAACGTAAATCTCGAGATTTGTCGAATCCGACAGATGACGCTTAGATACCCACGAGCCATCTTTGCAATGCGCGTTCGGGCAGGCCACGATGTACCAGAAGCACGCGCAGATGTGGAACAGCATCAGCAGGATGCCGAGGTCGCGCAGGCTTCGAAGGAACAAAATCGGCGCGTTGAGACGACGCTCCCATGTGCGGAAAAAGTGATACGCCATGTAGACGCGGGTCAGCTGCACGAAACGGACGTTCGCAACGGTGCGACGGAGGACGATGCTTTCGGGTTTGATGAGGATTAGCACCCCGATCGGCAGGGCCGAGAGAACGTCAACCAGAAAACCTGTCGGGCGATGCATGTAGAACCGCCTCACAGTCTTGTAATCGCGTACAAGGTCACCGTAATTATCGTAGTAAGCCGTGTGCATCCGTACGTAAATGTTGAAAATGTAAACGCAGGTGCACAGGCCGAGCACAACGTCCAGCTGGACGCTGAAGTCCACAAATGCCGCTTGGTAGAAGAGCACGGCGTTGGATACCGCGCCGCAGACTGTCAGGAAGAGATTGAATATGAGGAGCAACCTGGACTCTGGGTTGATGACAAAGTTGGAAGGAAGTAGTCTATCCATCAGCCTCCCGGTGCACCGACACCATTTGGTGAAGCACGACGGCGCTCGCAGCTCGCCGCGCATGCTGTGATAGCTGACGTGCGACCGGTCTGACTTAATGGAATGGTCCACCGAACTCCGCGAGCATTGGCTCTGCCGCCCGGTGGCTGGTGTGTGGTCCGTCGGTTCCAAGTCGAATGACATTTTGGACTCGACTTCAATGGTCTGTTCGCTCATGTACACCTCGCGGACTTCACCGGAGGCGTTGCTGGTGATGGAGACACTCGGTGATACGCGCTGCGATCCAGAGCTCGCCGGCATTACGTCACTCTTCTCGTCAGGGACGACGTCGTGCGACAAACTTACTTGAATAGAAGGCACGCGTGTGAGCGCTTCCGCCATATTGTCTCCGTTTTGTGTCTTAGACGCGCTTTCCTTCGTGTTCGCCGTGCTGGTTTTTATCATGGGTTGACTGCCACCCGGTCCCGAATCATGAGATGCACTGGGGATGGGCGCTGGAGCGCCGCTTTCTGCGGGTGGCGGCGATTGGCTCTGTGCACGCTGCTCCGAGCCCCCAGAGCCGACGTCTGCTATGTGCCCCGC